CAGCAGGAAGCATGCTGTGGGTTGCCCAGAAAAATCTGTCATCTACAAAAAGTTCCTTCAATTATCATTTCACAGCTTTCTATACTTAGGTCTACACCCCAGATAACAAGGACTAGAGGATATAGTTTTCAGGTCTCCTTCCTCTCAAAAACTCTCCCTCCAAAATCTACATTTCCCATGTCTCAGTTCCTGAAGGGATGTTTAGAAGTCAGTTTAAGGAGAATTTGCAGAAGCACTTCAGTTTACAAAAATAAAGGGTAAATAATGATCGTGTTTAACAGAAAGTGTCCAGTTTCATTATTCACTGTGTGGCTTCCTTCCCCAGATGAGGAGGGTTTCCCAACCATGAAGTCATGATGGCAGTCACAGCAGATGCAAGCATCTGCTGCAGACCTTCAGTTCTGAGACCAAATACACATGTACCTGCAAAAATACAACCTGTGCTTTCCCTGCAAACTGTGAAGATGCACTTCTAAAAATACCAGCGATCTCATAATACCCGCTAGGAGAGTGGCACCAATGTTGATGTGAAGATGGAATATTATCAGAAGTTTGCTGTTAGTAGTAAAACCTTTGGTTAAGAAAAATTTGTCAGGCAATATATCATCTGGAAGAAGTCCAAAAGATCTCTTGCCAGTCCAAGATCTCTTCACATCCCTATGCAGTTCAGATTAAGAACTAGAAGCTGTGCAGTCTTAGATAACTGCACTCAATCAGCTGTATATTCTGAGCAATCCAAGACACTTCCAACTGCTCATATCAATCCTGCTCTTAACAGGCTTTATAAGGAGTCTGGCAAAATGCATATATTAACCTTATTCCGAGTCTCTATTATCACTTCTTCTGCTCCTAAAACAAGAAAGTGATACGCTGGCTGTAATGGCTGCAAGTGCAGCAGCCCTCATATGACAACCAAAATGAGTCAGCACATGGCTGGAAGATACCTAAGCAGCATCTAGAGGAAGTAGGAAGTGGTTTCAGACATAACACACTGCCCTCCGAGTTAATATTTTCACTATGACTTGTGAAATGTAGTACTGAGAATAGAACAAGGCCTGCTGTTAGGATTGGTTCATGCATGTAACACAAAGAATCCTCACTCTAAAGGACCTAGTTTGTACATGGGATGAAGTAACAGGTGACTGAAGCAGATAAACAGCCGGAAGAACAAAGACAATTAAACAATTCTAAATAGCATAGTAAGAAGCATGAGCACACACATAGTCTAACCACTGCTAAGGGATCTATGTTCTGCTAAGTGTCTAATAATGCCCCCTTTGCTGCTTGATGGGGTCACAGATTCATAGAATCATTTATCTTGGAAGAGACATCTTGAGACCTAGTCCAGCTCCCCTGGTCCAAGCAACATCAGAAAGAGCGCATTGCACAGGACCATGTCCAGTCAGGTTTTTAGTATCTCCACCAACAGAGACTCCACAATCTCTCTGGGTAACTTGTTCCAGTGTTTGACCACCCTCTTGCTATTTTTTTGTTTGTTCGTCTTTTTGTATGTGTTCAGGGAGATTTCCTGGGGTTTAAGTTGTGCCCATTACCCCCTGTCCTGTCAGCAGGCACTACAGAGAAGAGTTGGACTCTCTCCTCTTTATTCACTTCCATCAGATACTTATTGGTAAGACCCCCCCTGACCCTTCTCTCCTTGAGGCTGAGCAATCCCACATCCCTCTGCCTCTAATCATATGAAATATATTCCAGTCCCTTAATTGTCTTCATGGCCTTTTGTGGTCATGTGGGTTGTGTTTGGGGGTAGGGGAAAAAAAAAAAAAGTGAAAGATCCCTTGGAATTTTGTTTGCTATGAAGTTTAGTATCTTGGCCAAATTACCAACAGAGGAGTATGTTCTTCCTTATTTTCATGTGTTAAGCACATCCACTAATTCTAGAAATTATGCAACATTAGCTGAGACCATAGTTTCCCCTCTGAAGGCACTGCATCCTTGGCAAAAGTGCATCATTCTCTGTGCTACCCAGAAAATCCAAAAAATGCACCAGAATCTCAGGATACGGAAGGTTCCAAATCAGCCTGTTAACAACAGTGGTGACTGCCTTGGAGATAACATGGGGAAAACAACATTATAGTAAAATTCCCATAAGGGAGATGTCACATATTAGGCAGAATGTTTGCTCCAGACCCCAATCAGCACTAAGTTTTGTGACTGTTCTTCACAGACAAACAGCTCTACCTTTCGAAGGACAAAGCTGGATATGAAACTGTCATTAAGACAAGCAAAATTTGGGGCACAAACTCAGGATCCAGTAAACTTAAGGAGATCCAGGCTGCTACAGAACTGGTTCCAGTTTTAAAATTGGTTCACCTGGTCACTCTTGTATCAATTTATTTTTATAATAATCTTTTTGATCTTGTCTGCACAGTAAGTCATTCAGGACTTCTCCTACTGCATCTTCTCCTCTTCACCATCTGAGAACACCCCCAGGAGTCCTCCCACCCTTCTCCCTGGGCTCACCCACGACCTGAAGACTGTGTGCATCATCTCTAAGATACTAGGAGGCATAACTGGAGAAAAGCTAACATGCCTACAGTTCCGCATGACCAGCCCCCAGGCTTGAGTTACTTACAGTGATGGGCAGGTCTAGTGGGTTAAGCAGCTTGTCCTGCCGGCAGAAAGCAAAAAAAGGCACAAAGAGAAGCAGACAGGATTTAGCTTGGAGTCCAGAAATAAGGCACAAATGGGGCACTAGAGAAGAAAGGCTTAACACACAAAACAGACATATGCACATCTTGCATGTAGCCAAGACCTCAGGTGGTTCCTCAGAGCAGGACAGGTGTTTCATTCCTCACATCTGCGAGCAGGAATGTGCCCCTATAACTTGAGAAAGGTATCTTTTTTGGGGAAGGGGGAGATGGGGCTACTGATTTAGTAAGTGCATACAACCCCAAGGACTCCACCCAGCCTACCTCTTCCATAAGGAATCAAATGTCTTAAAAAAATATCCATGCTGGATAGAGGATTACTTTCTGTCTCTCAAGACCTTTCAGATTCCTTTCTGAGCATCTCCTAAACATAGATATGCTGCTCCAGAACACACTATTAATGGGATGGTACTTTTTCTCCCATGTTGCCATGCTGAAACAGCTACAAGTTCTTGGCAAGGTCCAAGGTCTGCCTTGCCCAGACAATGTAATTTCTGAGGCATAAACTAAACAGCCAGCTGTTAACCATTATTCAGATTTAAAGTAAAAAAGCAAGAACAAACCTGTCTCTTGTCCTCAGGTGCCTTCAGGAAGAGGGCATTTATCAGGGCAATGGCATATGTCTGAATCTCCTGGTTTGAGCTGCAGAAACAAACATGGGAGGATCATAAGAGAACGACCATAAAAGAACAGGCAGCATAGAACATTACAGCTTGCTGCTTTGCCTGCACTGAAAGAATATTTACTACAGCTATCTTGGATTTCAACAGACAAGCAGAATTCAGGTAATCTGCCTTCATGCCATCCAACTCTTCATGAGATCTGCAAAAAGCTGACAGAAATTGCTTACCAGTAGCTCCATTATTCAGAAGACAGTGCAGACTGCAGCCCAGCAGAGCTCAGAGTTCAACACCACCAGTTTCTTTCCAATGCTGAAACTATCTCTGTAAAGCTGTTATACTGCAGTCCATTATATGGATACAGCTAAAAACTTATATGGAGCAAGTAATTTTTCTCCCTTATGTCAATGGAAGACACCAAACACAAATGGGACTAAGGGGGAAGTATGCCTCTTTATGGCATTCCCTTCCAATCTCAATAGTTTAGCCCAGCCCACGTTTTATTATTTTCACTGAAAAGCTTCTTCAGGTAAAGGCTGCTAACTCCCTTCCTAGATCACACACTGTGCGTGGTTTCACTTGTGATGTTCTGAAGAAGCTTGCAAATGCCTGTCACACTTTTCAGTAATACTTCAAGAATAGCATCTTTAAGTGTTTGAAACACAGAGGGATGTATTTTCAAATGAACAGATATTCATGTAATGGATTTAAATCACACCACTGTGGAGTGGACACTCACACTTGCAGATGAGAAATGAGCTGCCCCACGGTGATCTCTTCTGCTATCTTCTGATACAGAGTCTGGCTGTTTAGCACCATGCTCTCTAGAATGGCGAGGGATCGCTGGAGGATGGAGACATCCACCATAGGCTGACTCACATACCCTGCAATCTAAAAACAGATGATCCAGCAGGTCAACAGATGCCTATCCAGAGAACCTTGTGGTGATTGAGACAAGCTAAGGGAGACAGGGCTCAGAAAGCTGGGTGCACTGTGCTCTCAGTGAGAACTCAACTTCTCAGAGTGATCTTGCCCTTCCTGTAAGCTGCATTTAAGCATGAGAAGAAATCATCTTAAACATCTAGAAAATGATAAATGATTCTATGACTCTGTGAAGTAGCATCCTTGCCTCCTTTACCTAAACTCACCTGTTTGATGAAGGTTATTGAGACCATGTCCCAGGAGACAATACCATGGTCCATGAGCTCCAAGAAGGCAGTCAGGGTGAAAGCCAACATCTCACTGTAACTGAGAAAATGAAGCATGCCATTACAAGAGACCTGGTAGCAAGAAAAAAAGCCTGTTCAAGCTGAGTAAGCGAGAGAAATGTCACCACCTCCACACACACAAAAACCTCAACCAGACAGAAGTTTTAACATCAGAGAAAAACAAAGAAAAAACGAATTGTCATTCTGTAAATATGGGGACCTGGCTTTTAAACAAAATGAAAGAACAGCATGAACTGTGGAAAATTTAATACATAACCACAAGATACAAAGCTAAAAAAGATTGAGGGAAAGATCACAAAACATGCTGAAAACATATTAGTTGTTAATATATAAGAAAACAGAAGACATATAAATATTTGGACAAAACATTATCAAGACTTTAAAAGTGCTTTCAATGAAACAAAACAACTACAGCAGAAAAGCCAAGTGAATTCTTTGCATCATTCACTGTGAATGTGCGTGGGGAAACCTTCAGAACAGTTTGTTTGGGTTTTTTTCACGTGTTTTTTGTTTTCAAGATAGAAGAAAAATTTTCAATTTTGTCATTTGAACATCACTAGAAGACATTCTGGAATAAGCCATTAATACAATGATCTCCAGGACCAGATGATACTCACTGAAGAATCCCACAGGAACGATGGCAAAGTGAAACACTGCAGAACTACTTATTGTGCTCTGCAGAAAGTGGCAAACCTAACACTAGCTTTTAGAGAGGACTCAGGAATCTGAAGGACGCGGCAGACATTAGTATGTGTAACCAGAAAGATTGGGGGAATCTATAATAAAAGCATAATACCACTAGAAGAAAAATAAGTATTTAACATGGAATAATTGATCTGCCTTTTGTAGAGGGAAGTTACATTTCACATCTCTATGAGAAATGGGTTCATGTGGCAAGGTCTTGGTAGCAGGGCCCGGCTGGGGGGCCTCTGTGAGGAGAGGCTGGGGCTGCCCAGGCTGAGCAGCCCATCCCACATAGCTCCAAGATCAACTCAGCCCTGGCCAGAGCTGAGCCCAGCAGTCAGGATGCTGGCGCTTCTGTGGAAGCATTTTTAAGAAAGTGTAAAAAATGCTACACAGCAGCTGTGAGAGAGGAGTATAAAAACATGGGAGGGGCTTGATGGGCAGCTGGCAGCCAGCAGAGGTTAATCTACCACAATACTGAAGGTCTCTGAACAAATAAATAAGTCAGAATGAAAACAGTTAAGTACAACTTCTGGACTTTGAAGAGAATTTTTATGAGGTGCTTCATTAAAGTGTCTCAAAAAACCCCAAAACACTCAGCTGCTAAAGGGCAAAACCAAAAAGCTCTTTCTTGCATTAACAACTGACTAAAAGACAAGAAATAAAATGGTACAAATAAATTTCCCCACAACAGCACAGTACTACTGGAAAGAGCTAAGAGCTAGAGGATGCATAGAAAGAATGATTAGCACCCTGGAATGGCTGCCATAGTTACAGTGTGAATGGAGTATGACTGCAGCTTAGAAAAGGCATGACTAAGAGTCCTGGAATACAGGAAACTCACTGGGACAGAAGCTTGGTCCCACTCTCCACAAGCCGTGTCAGCACTGTAATCCCTTCCATGTTGATGAACTCGGTGGCAAAGGTTACATCTGCTGAAAGTTTAGCCAGTTCCTTCATGGCATCCAGTCGGGCTTCCATACTGTGTGACTGGATCCTCTCCATCAGCTGGCGAGCTGCCCTAGACTGGGAGGAAAGAGGGATGACACCAGTTACAGACCGGTCACCTACAGAATCAGCATTCTGTCAGAAGTCCATGGATGGAAAGAGACACCACAGCAAGGGTAGAGAGATACCAGCAATGACAAGATAAGTAGCAGCAGTCAAAAAGTTAAGGCAGACTTTCAAAGGCTGCACTTGGCAACATTCACAGCCAGGCAGGAGGTCAGTAAAATGCTATTTTACATGTTAGAGGAAATGCTTGGTTTTCTTCCTGGTGAGGCAAGTGGAGGTGGATACAAAAATATAGCGAGACCATTAAGGAAATACAGGGTTAAGACAAATCTCGCATGGATTCAAAGAGAACCACAAGCTCATTTTGTGTATCCACACGACATTCTGTGAGATTTCTCAGACACAAATCAGTTATATCCTCTCTACTACCTCTTGCCCAGGTAACTTCTTCCTGCTCTGTTCACTCTCAGCTATATGCCACGACACTTGCACAAAGGTTTAAGAATTTCAATTAAATAGAAGCTGGAACAAGTCTGCAAAAGACAGCTGTTGAGGTGACAACAGCAAGAATTCACCAGGAACAACCACCTCTGCATCAAATTCATAGAATCATAGAATCATAGAATCTTAGGGGCTGGAAGGGACCTCGAGAGATCATCTAGTCCAACCCCCCTGCCAGAGCAGGGTCACCTAGAGTACATCACACAGGAACTCATCCAGGTGGGTTTTGAATGTCTCCAGTGAGGGAGACTCCACAACCTCCCTGGGCAGTCTGTTCCAGTGCTCTGTCACTCTCACAGTAAAAAAATTTTTTCGGATATTCACCTTGAATCTCCTATGCTCCAATTTACACCCATTACCCCTTGTCCTATCACTGGTAATCACTGAGAAAAGCCTAACTCCATCCCCCTGACACTCACCCCTTACATATTTGTAAACATTGATGAGGTCACCTCTCAGTCTCCTTTTCTCCAAGCTAAAGAGACCCAGCTCCCTCAGCCTTTCCTCATAAGGGAGATGTTCCACTCCCTTCATCATCTTCGTAGCTCTGCGCTGGACTCTTTCAAGCAGTTCCCTGTCCTTCTTGAACTGAGGGGCCCAGAACTGGACACAATATTCCAGATGTGGCCTCACCAATGCAGAATAGAGGGGGAGGAGAACCTCTCTTGACCTACTAACCACCCCCTTTCTAATGCACCCCAGGATGCCATTGGCCTTCTTGGCCACAAGGGCACATTGCTGGCTCATGGTCATCCTCCTGTCTACCAGGACCCCCAGGTCTCTTTCACCTACACTACTCTCCAGCAGTTCAGACCCCAACCTGTACTGGGACATGGTGTTGTTCTTCCCCAAATGTAAAACTCTGCACTTCCCCTTGTTGAATTTCATCATGTTTCTCCCCGCCCAACTCTCCAGCCTGTCTAAGTCTCTCTGAATGGCAGCACAGCCTTCTGGTGTGTCAGCCACTCCTCCCAGCTTAGTGTCATCAGCAAACTTGCTGAGGGTACATTCTATACCCTCATCCAGGTCGTTGATGAAGATGTTGAACAACACCGGTCCCAGTACCGACCCCTGTGGGACTCCACTAGTCACACACCTCCAACCAGATTCTGCCCCATTGACTACAACTCTCTGGCTCCTTCCTTTCAACCAGTTCCTAATCCACCTCACTTCCTGATCACCAAATTTGTCTCTTATTTTAATTTCTGCATTGATTTCCCAGTACTGTTCCTTTCTGACTGATTACACTAACTGCACTCAGCCTCTGAATGCATCTGCTACGATACAACATGCTGATTGAGGAAATGCAATAAAAATGTAGACTGGATTTATTTACAGAAAGTCCTGTGGGCAGAGCATCCCCCAAAAAAGATACACACCACAAAGGAGGGAACACAAGAGTGTGGACCTCATTGTGCAGAAAGGCCCACAACAAAGGTAAGCCCCCTAAATTTGGGAAGAAGGAGAAAGAAAAGCTGTGAGACAAGAAACAGCCTGTCATATGAGGATAACTACGGAAAAGAAGGGATGTGAGGAAGCATTTACCGGGGAAACTGCCAGCTGTAGGATAGTTCCATTCTTGATGTCACAACGAGTCTGAAAGAAAACATAAACTTTAAACTGCAGAAAAGCTGGGGGAGGGAAAGAATGCAACTGAACCTACAGTGCTCATTTGCATGCTCAAGTAAAGGAGCTCCTGTACCACACAACCCTACTGAGGGTACTGAGTTGAGCCACTGGGTCCTTGCACTTATGAGCCTGCAGAGGGAGGAGTGTAAGGCTCCTGCTGAATGCCACCACTCCAGTCTGAGTCTATTTGATAGCAAAGATGCTGCTGCCCTCAAGGATTAGCAACAGTATTCTTTCATGATGCTCATCCAAAGCATTCTGTGCTCTGGCCCAGGACACTAGCAAGATGCTTTCTCTCACACTGACCTGCTCCGTGATGTACAGCTGGGGACCATCAGCGTAGCGCAGGGTGTAGTACTCAGGGTTTGGCAACGACCACCTGGCAGAGGAAGAAGGAGGACACGTGAGCTTCTTCCTCCTCTTTCTTCTGACTCTCAATTAGGAACAGGAGCTTGGTCCCATGAGGGTGGAAAATAACTTTTGTGCAAAGCTTTAACATGGGAAATTAGGTGTCCCAAAGAGGACAGAAAACACCTTCCTCTTGAGGGAAGGATGGGACTTCAGCCTTCTCCAAGTCAAGCTCTGTGAAATGTCTTAAGAGGCCTGCACTTCAGCATCAGCAAGATGGGCCAGTCCTCAGAGACACTGGCTCTAGAGGCATACACATGCACACATGCAGAACTGAAATCAAGATGCAAAGCCCTTGTTTTCTAGATCCTTTTCTTCCCAGTTTAAACTTTGGCCCATTCTATGACCAAGACTGGCAGCAGGCAGCACAGATTGTGCTAGCAGCACACTGACAAGCAAAAGAGATTTTCCACCACAAGATTTCTAAGGGGGACAGACTTTCACCATAAGGGCTCCCAAAGAACTACTCACCCATCACAGACCTCCTTGATGATGGATGCAAGAGGCCTTTTCTAGAACAGAAAGAGAGAGTCCTCAGTAGTCACATTCCTCTCAAACAGAAATTAATACTATTTATATGCTCCCATATTCCAGTATCAAGGCTGTGATGCGTTTCCTCTCCCATCTGGTTACCAGGTCTCACCTGATCTATCTCCAGCAGCTGGGCATTAGCACCTGGCCACTCAACAGCTACTTTCACGATGTCCGAAGGTGGTGGCATTGCTCCAGACTCCTCCAGGTGCCTTCACAACATACACTCCTGGGCCTGTTAGGAGGAAAGATAACAACCAGCTCTCTGAAAACTATTTCAGTTTTTACATTGCATCCAACTCCAAGTTTCAAAACACTACATAAGATCAGGCTTACAGTTTGCTGGGCCTGCTAGGGACTAAACATCAAAGATCAAGGCCTCATACTAAACCAGCACAGCGTAAAATTGTATGCCCAACCTTATCACCAAAGGAATACTTTGAGAGCTTGTTGGGGCACTCAGAGAAGGAGAGTCACTGATCAACAAAGCCCCATTGGCCACCCACTGTGGTGTGTACTGCCAGGTTAGTTTACATGACTAGTAAAGCCACAGCTCCCTAAGCTCTGTCTGTACATGAGAGGGCAAGTGTACTGTCCAGGCAGCCTCCCTCCCATGGACCAGTGTTTATTGGTGCCCATTCATATTTCTCAGAGATCTCGACTCACTCAGGATACTCAAACCAGCTCCTAGGCAACGTAGCAGCAGCTAGCTTTATCCCATTTCCTTCCTCTAACATCATAAATCCAAAACATTAGTATCCAACACCAAAAAATAGTTAACTCAGCATTTGCTCTTGACATCTACCTTTCACTCCTTTATCTGGCTTAGAGCTTAAGCTTGTGTTGAGGGTTTGGTCCCAGACAGCTGTCAGACATGCTGGTTTGTGCTTCATCTGGTAGTAAGAAGCTGTAAAGAAATGTACTTGTTCAGTTCCTTTTTAACTCTCTCTTGGGTGGAGGAAGTAGCCCTGTTCTCTCCCACAGAGCCACAAGGAGAAAGTCACCTGGGAGAGAGACAACCCTCCTCATTGGCAGTTCTCAGGAACAAAGGTTTCAAGCTGCCAAAAATGAGACCTGACCAGACACAGAAGTAGCCTAGTTCTTCTCCTGAGACTCATTTTCCAACATACCCTGAGTGAATCTATAAGCATCTGAAGAACAACTTCCCAGCTCCTATGGAAGCTCATATTTCTCCTACTGGGGCAACCCAATCCCCTTTTCCCAGAATATAAATGAGACAGTGCTGAGCAGGGACACTGTTTCGTGATTAACACAGTTCCCTGACTTCCTCAATCAACTGGAAAAGAGAATCTTGAAGGGAAATAAGCAGCCTTTGCAATTTTCCTGATGCAAGGAACGTAAAGAACAGAGAACTTTTCATGGATCAGCAAAGACCAAGGAGCTGCAAAGATACCTGGTCCAGGAAACTGGACTAGGTGACTGTCCTGGAAAAGGGAACTTCTACGAAATTAGCTGGGTCTACCACAAAAGGCTGACATGCCGGGCCTGTATAAGATGCTGACCTAGAGATACACTGATGATCTCAATTAATGAAGCTCATATGCCTCTTCATTCCCTCACAGAGATTAGCATCACTGCATGGAGAGATATGAAAAATTCAGGTGCACTAATGTTTCTCTGCATTTGTACACACATTTCCTCTCTCCAGTTAAGGCAGCTTCCTCACCTGGGAAAACCGAGTCCCACAACCTCCTAGTGCAGCCTTCTGAGATAGTCACAACATTATCATTGCTCCCGCCTTCTGGAATTGAGGATGATGGGTGCAATTTTAGTATTTCTTTCATAGCACCTCCTGGAAATGCTCCGTGTTGCCACTGCAGCCAACTTCACCCTCATGGCTGCACCAAATCACAGATACTTGCTTTACCATGAAGACACTTGCTGGAGAGAGAAATCAGCCATTTCCCCATTAAAACAAGCATTGTTTACCATGAGAAGCTCTTCTGAGGCTGCCTTGTTCAATTTGCTCTATCATGTGTATGGTCTTTGCAGTTGCTGCAGGAATCAGGGAAGCCTGAACTCCAAAGCTATCTGGGGCTTCAGCTGACCCAAAAGGGAGACTGGCTTCGTGTGTGCACAGACATCATCCTCCTCCACTCCTATGACTGTCAGACTTTGTCTGCTCTACCATCCCAGCCCTGGGAAAGTATTTGGCAAGCCAGAGCAGAATTTAATGATATTCTGAAATTGCACAGCTTCCCCCAACTCACAAAGATTATTACAGTCAGTACTCTCCTTTTAGCATCAATCCCAAGAGCAGCTTATGTTTTCTTAAAACCCTTAAAATTACTCTAAACATATCTCATGGCAGAAAACTGCCAGGTGGGTTAGGTTCAGCTTTGTTCAGCTTCTTAAAATCACATCTCCAGCCCTTCAGATAAGCAGCACAGCATTAACTCAGACTAACATTTCAAGAAAGAGCTGGCATTGGAAAAGCAACAGACTCTGCCCCAGTCAGGCTGAGCAGGTCTCCAGGGTGATGTCAGAGAAGCATTTATATGATTCCTGTCTTACAAAATTCCAAGTTAGAGTCAAGCAGTTACACAAACACCACCAGATATTTTACTTTCTAATACCAAAGAGAAGACAAGCAAACCTTCTCCCACTCACTCTGGATAAACAATCTAACACTCTCATCTTCACAACAAATAGGAAAGTTTGTCCTTCAGAGAACACGTCAGGTAAAAAACTCCAGCTTGGACAAGGTGAGGCCCCTCAAAGGAAGACTGTCCCTAGGAGAGCTCAGTTACATTAGTGTTTCAAAGACGCCTTTGCAGCCACAGAGCTGGGCTAATTCACAAAGGAAAGCACCGAGCTCAAGCTGTCCAATGGAAATGCTGTTTCCAACCCCCACAGCATGTGTTAACATACTCTACTTTCTTGACAGATTTTGATGATCAGTGTTCTATTCTCTCACTCCAAGACTGAAACTGACAATTTACTTTTTGCTAAGAGAGACACATTAACTTTCAGCAAGTATGTTCTCAAGGGACCTCTAACCCTCAATGCATACACAGCTGCTGGTGCTATTTTCAAACCCATTACAGTCAGTAAATTGGACTCTATTCCTTTCTTTTACACTCATCCTGAAGCAGCTGGTCTTCTTTTGTCCAAAGTATTAGCAATTCATGCAACAGAGCATAAGGAACCCAGGACCAGAACAGCATCTTCCCTCATTGCATAAGCACAGCAAAGCTCTTAGGAATCTGCAAAAAGACAGAAATGCCTTAAACCCAGATATATTTAGATGACTGCAGTCCCCTGTTCAGCACTTATTATTTGGGTTAGTACATACAGCAAGCCTAACTATACCAGTTATTCTCTACTTGTTCACAAGTCAGTGCCCAATACTTGCTATTTCTGAGGACAGAAAAAGTCTGCCAAGCATGTCAGAAGGGTCCCTCCTGATTCTAAAAACCTGATTTTCTCTAACTTTCAAGTACAATGTAATAAAAGCACAAAGTAGAACCAAGACAGCTTGCTGACCCAATGTACTCTGTAGCATCAGCCATAACAACTAAGAGCTTACCCGATCCTTCTGTCTCACAAAGGCTTAGATTAACCTAGTCAAACTACGGATGGGTCTTCCTCACTTCTTTTTCCTGAATTACACAGACAAATAAATAACAATTTAGACTTCCAAATGCCTTTTGCAGCAATAGCTCAAAACAGGGATAACTCACCAACTAACCCTTTAAGTACACCGAAAAAATTACCAGTACACACGCAGTAGCACAGCTCTGTCCATATTCCCCAGAGAGTGTCCAACCTGCACAACACCCCCAGATCTGCGGGATATACAGGTTCCCATCCACTAAGTCTAGAAACAACAGGCAGTTCCCAAATGGCATGTGATTTCCACTCACTGTTCTCCATTCAGCAGCTAAAGCCTATGATGGCCTAAACATGAAGGCCTGAGAACTCTTTGTCACACAGCACGGGCAGGTGCCACCTCCAGAGGCCAGGCTGGCAACAACCTAACAGGTAATTGCTTCTCCCACAAGTGAACTAACTCAAAACTAGAAACCTTCTAAATCCATTCAGTGCTCAAGGCATAGCAAATACACAGTGAAAAGGCAAGGCTCAAAGATAACTTCCTTAAGAACTGAATTTGCAACTCTTAACTAATATGGCCATGAGTAATTAGCATCTAATTACCACTTCTGCCTTCGGCCTCTTACAGTATAGCCACAGGCTTTCATCTGTACTGCAACTTACATTGCAAGTTGCTACTGAAGAGTACAAGGAAACACAGTACTTCATATGCCAAAACAAAGACACCCAGATTACTGTGGGTAGAAGCCTTCCCAAATCTCTTGTCATCTCTCTTACAAAAAACATACATCATTTAGGGAGAGGAAGTTCACATCAAAACAAAAACATTGATGTTATGGGAAATTCTGCAGAAATCATGGAATTGTTTAGGTTGGAAAAGATCATTGAGTCCAACCATAAACCTTAAGACTGCCAAGTCCACCACTAAACCATGTCCCTAAGTGCCATAAAAATATAAAAAAGTCTCCTGTTTCATAAAAAAAAAGTATGGCAGAAGTTGGCCCATAGTTCCTAGAGGCACTCTACCTGCAGCTCCCTTGATAGCCTTGCCACTGGAAACAATAACAACTAAGTGTTATTACACTATCTTCATATCTCAAAAAAAAAGCTTTCAGCTGCATGCACACCCAGAAAACAACTTACCACCATGTGTTAGACTATTTCAGCCCCAAACTTCTCCCATAAATGAATACACACTCATGACTGGAAACCATGTTCCCTATTTCAATCAGTATTCAGGGGACAGCATATACTCAGTGAAAGAAGCAGAGCTTACAGACTGTTTCTTTGCACAGCAGCACCATGGAATAGATATCACATAAGCCTATTGAGGAAGATTCAAACATCAAAATGAATTGGCTAAGCAGAACCCAGAGAAGTAGAAATTATTTTTTTTTAAAAAAAAAGGTAGGAAACTCTTCAGACAAGTCTCAGTCAAACAACCCTTTGAAGGGCCTACACAGATCACTGGCTCAGCAGAAGCAGCTTTCCAGAAGAGGACAATGAAGACTGGACTACAAATACAAAGGGTACTTCAGGTCAGCCACTTAACTGTTGTCTGTTAAAAGCATTATTTGAAAATATTTCACTGTGTGTCTGCAAACAAGAGAGATGACAAATATTAAATTTACAACTGATATTTTGCAGTGCACCAGTGACATGTCTGATAAAATGACTGGTCTTGGGAAGAAGCACACACTGAAATTTTGCATAATCATGATTATCAGTCACTTATGGATCTCTCACAGCATATTCTTCGCAACAACAACATGTAAGCAATTCTCAGTTTTATACAGGGAGACAGCAGCCAAGCTGAAATATAGCAAAGATTAATTCATTCTGCTTCTGCAAAGTGAGCTCCTCTATACAAAGCAGTGGCATAAGGGAAGCTGCTAGGCAGGGAGAAATCAGCAGAGCCACCAGTAACACACTACTCAAGAGCCTTCTGAGAAGCTGCAAGCTAAAACAACTAGAGCATTTTAAGCAGAATTTCCCTATTCACAAACTGTCTTCATTACGCATAGAGAACAAAGTGTGCTGCACACAGAATGAAAATCAGAATAATGAAAGAACATTGGGTAAAAAAGAAATTCTGCCTGGTAGAATCCCCCAGTTAACAATCAAATGATTGTTGTCAGCTTCTGAGACCTGTAGATGGGACAAACATCCTAGTCAGTTCTCAGCAAGTTCCCGAAGGTGGCACCAACAGGCCAAACAAAAGGTGGGAGTGATGTCAGCAGACTGACCAACGGGACAAGCATGCAGAGCAGCTCCCCCGGCCAAGCAGCACAGGAGGGCAGCAGCCAGCAGAGTCCAGCCTGAGTACAGCTTTCTATGTTACCTCACACAGCAAGCAAAGAAAACCTACTCCACTAGCGACATCCAAGAACCAGGTGGCTCAGATTCTCCGTGTCTAGGATCCTACATTCTTCCAAAGGCCTTGCACAGCTGCAGCTTGGCTGTGAAACACTAAGCCTGTGTCAATGGACTATCCTCTTGCACATTCCAACAGAGGCGGGCAGAGGCCATCGCTTCGTGAGGACAGAAATCGATAGCCACAGGTGAAAGGAGAGAGCTGCCTTTTTACTTCTACTCAGTCAAGCGAGCTGAAAGCAGCCAGCCCATCAGCAGCTAACGAGGCGTGGGCCAAAACCCAGTCTAAGGCGCTGAACATCTTCACTGACAAAGTGCTGTCCGTTCTGTGCCTCAGGTCCCCTCGGCTCCCACGGGAGCGGCGACCCGCGCCCTCCCCGGGCAGCCCCCCGGCCCCTCCTCGGCCCCACAGGCGGGAGCCGCAGCCCCGGTGGTCGCAGCTCCACGCTGAAGATGCTTTTACGTAGAGTCGATTCAAGTCCATCTCATCAGATTACAAGTTATATTAAAAAGAAGTGCAGGAAAAAGTCATAGCACAACACGTATCAAAATAGTGTAGCAAAGTATATAACCAGCCCTTTGATAGCTGTCAAGCACTGGATGTCACTGCACTGGCACTAAATACAATTAAATTCTGCAGTGGTCAGCCACTGCCATATGTTGGGCAATCTCACACTAACTGGTACTGTGCATGCTGTGCTCTCCTTAGGGGAATCAATTAACTCTCTCTCTGGAGCCTTGTTCTTCTTATTTCCCCTATGAAAAAGATTTCCAGGGGGAGCATGTGGTAGAAGCCTCTTCTACAACTGTCTGGATAATACTTAGGAATTGAGCTTTTATGAAATAAGTAAGGAATGGAAAGAGGTAGCAGGCAGATGCTCCACCTGTGCCTGGGCAAGAGTACCTGGAAATCAGGTTTCATTCAATATATCACCTCTTGCCTATCTGCCATCTTAGCATGTTTTTCTTGACAGCGATTGGCTCTTGTGCCTCAAGAATAACGAAATCCACAATGAAAAACAATCCTTGTCCCTTCATTTTGTACGCCTACTGGTTAAGCATTTTGGATAGGAAGAGCTCCTCTGTTGGACTTCCTTTCCTGTCCTCTATTTTTTTGCCCACCAGCCAGCCTATGTTACTTCATGCCATGTTACTATGTACTTTATGCCATGTTTAGTAGAGGTGTACTGGAAAACTTGCCACCAAATAATGTAATTTAGCTAATTAAGTTAGTCTGCTACTAATGCTAATAACAGAAACAAAAGCTTTGTCAACAAGAGCTGGGAACTGTGAAGGAGTTGCATGTTACTTGGATCATATTCAACTTTTAAAGTGCCATTTTGATGTTCATAAAGCACGCAGAGCCGGGCAGCAGCAGCAGGGCAGCGGCTGCTGCAGCTTCTGCAGAAATAGTCATGGTTTTAGTCTGGTTTGTGAAATCCCCAGACTCTTAAGGCTCAAGGAACTCTTTGTTTGAGTTCTTTGCTAATAACGGAAATACACCCTGAGGTGGTGCCGATGCAGGCACTGTAACAGTTAATCATCATGGGGGAAAAACCAGAAATGCACATCTTGTGTTTGGCCTTCTCTATGTGCTTAGCTTGAGGCATTTCAAAATGTGGGTTTTACAGCAGATTCTCCTCTCTGGAGTAGCCTCATTGTATATATTCTATTGCACATTCAAAGAGCAGCATTGATTATTTTTTTTTTCCCTCTCTGTTTTGCAATATTTTCTTTCTCTTCTCACTAGACCTAAAAATTCAAAGCAGCCAGAGCGGGAAGAGAAAAGGGTCCTTGGCCTTGTGTTGCTGCGAGGAGAAAACCTGGTGTCCATGACAGTTGAGGGGCCACCACCAAAAGATGTAAGGAGAATGAGTGCAGAGCTAAGGAAAAGGGAAGGGAATGTCTGATAAATTTGCTTCCTTACAGGAGAATGCTGCTTGTATTGTCCTAGCCTTCCAGATGCTGTTGACTAGGTTCAACAAATTTCACTCTAAACCCTTAGGTCACTTGCACATTGACTGGACAGAGGAGGGTCCTGGGCATCTCCAGGATCTGAGGACTTTGGTTTTGATAAATCTGACTTTTGTGTGTGTTTGTTTTCAGACTGGAATTGCCCGGGTACCTCTTGCTGGAGCTGCTGGAGGACCCGGCGTTGGGAGAGCAGCAGGGAGGGGAGTGCCAGCTGGAGCACCCATGCCACAGGCTCCAGCAGGCTTAGCTGGCCCTGTCAGAGGGGTGGGAGGACCATCCCAACAGGTGAGCTGCTGTGATCTGTTAAAGTTGTCTGGTATATTCTGAGGTGGTTTTCGATTCTTGGTACCAATGTGATGCAAGAAACTGCTGGAGTGGAAAACCTGTAATCCTAGTTAATTTTACTAGGGACTTTGGGCCTAGTGAGACTTTTTGGTGCTAGATTCCCTTGGGGACTTTGTCTTGTAAGATGGAAGAAGGGACTTGAAAAGCAGAGCTTCTTGCACAGAATTCATGTATCGATGGAGTTATGTTACAGGTTTGTAACTTTATTTGATACATTAGGAGGAGACTGGCATAGCTTTCTGGAGAGGTAATAATTTAAACCTTGAGGGTTTTTTAGTTATTAAGGTAAAGCAGATGTCTTGTGTCTCCATGACCCTGTTGGTTGTGTTGACAGGTGATGACTCCTCAGGGCCGAGGAACAGTTGCAGCAGCAGCTGCAGCAGCCACAGCCAGCACAGCAGGAGCCCCCACCCAGTACACACCAGGGCGGGGGGGGCCGCCCCCCCCCATGAGTAGAGGAGCACCTCCTCCAGGTAGGAATTACTCTGTGGAGTTGGGCAGGGAGCTAATGTTATGTGACAAAATTGGTGATAAAGAGGTATTTATCCAAGTGTGATGAAGATCTGGTATTATGGAGGGTTATCTTGATACCCACCAGTGCCTTGAGTGTTCCCCTGGATCTACATGCTTGTTCATTTTCTGGTTTAAGGAATGATGGGACCTCCTCCAGGCATGAGACCACCTATGGGCCCACCAATGGGAATGCCACCTGGCCGAGGTGCTCCTATGGGAATGCCCCCACCAGGCATGAGACCACCACCCCCAGGAATGAGAGGTGAGCTGAGGTTATCTTAAATGCCTAGAAGTTGTAAGAAGTCGTAACATAAAATACTTGAAGGGTGGTATGTTTCAAGGCCTCCCTAGCTGTGCTGGTTGTCAATAAATGCCTCAGTGCCAGGAAAAGGGTCCTAGTGCCACTTCAAGCATGAGGAAAATGTCCTGGTTTAGCCTTGCTCTTTCTTTCCTCTTTAATATTCAACTCTCTTTATTCCCAGGACCCCCTCCACCTGGCATGCGTCCACCAAGGCCATAAGATATTCTATAATGTACCTTTGAACTGTGAGAAGACTGATGTAAGAGAATATACTGAGCAGTACCACCTGTCAGAACTTTGCTATGTTTTATAGCTGCTGCTTGTAAAGCTTGTTCTTTCTAATAAAGCTGGAAGGTCCAGTACTTGGAGTCACTGTTGTACTGGTCTATCTCAGGAGTGCAGCTGTTAATTCTCACTGCTGTGCTTTGGTCACCCCAAGAGGAGAGCAGGTTTGAAGCAAAGATCTCAATTTGTAGTGATAGCTCCGAAGTCACAATTCATCTGGGCCACCTCATGTATGTTCCATGTAGGAATTAACATGGATCAATGAAATTTAGCAAGACTAGTGGAAAAAAAAATGAGATGGTAAAAAAGTCAAAGAGTTAAACATTTTTAAGAAATTAAGAATGGGTTACTGATCAGAATTCTCCCTGCTTATTCACAACAAGTATAATGGTGCCCATATCTCTGCTGCCCTGCATTAAGCTGTTGCTTATTAGTCTGCAGTTTGCCTGCTTGACCTTTATAGGTGGAGCTGCATTGCTTCTAGTTGAAAAAAAAAAAAAAGCCAGGATGAGCAAATCTCATTACTGACATACAGTAATGTAAACCAGTCTGCCTTCTGGGTGTAGTCTTGCCTCAGCTTACAGCTGTTTTCTTTCCAGTTAAGAGGACACTATCTGCCCCCACTCCTTGGGGCTAATCCTTTCTTCAGAGTAGCCTCTTTGAGGCTGTTTTAATCCCTGTGACTTATCTCTGAAGCCATCTTTGTGACAGGTAGCTTGAAAACATTTTTCCCTGTTTCAGAAATAGGTTCTCAAGGCTTCTCACAGAAATAATTTTCAGGCATATTAATTAATCAAGATCAGAGAAGTATATGAACAAAGCAATAAGCACTCTCCAGCCCTAATGACAATATGACTGACATGAACTAAAACCCTGATAAAAATCTCTAACATATGCAGAGCAAGCTTTTTAGGAAAAAATATAATAAAAAGTTTATTGTATGGGCTGCTGAAGATGTTTTTACACAGGGTCTTCTGGTATTAACAAACAGCTCAAAGCTCTTCTAGAACTTGAAGAAAAACTTCAATTGTACTGAAGCTGTCTCCTTGCCGTACAAAGAAATCCAGGCCCTGGAGATAAGTGTGTCCAACAGGTCTTACTTTCTCTTGTACCTGAAAGAGAAGATACTTGAAGTGGCATTCCACCCATCCAACTCTCAATGATAGATAAAGAACAACAGTGAGCATTTTCTTGGAATGCTTTTCCAAGCAGAAGCCTAGAAGTGTGCTAATTAAGGGCAGTATCATTGGTTGCCTCAGCATCAGACCTGCAGTAGGAGGGAAAGCTACTGCAGAACCAGCAAACCTTTTAGCAAGGGCCTTTACACTATCACAGGAAGAGGAAAGATAAAGCAGGAACAAAATACTGAGTAAGATATTAAAGGGAGCTATACCTGGACTTGGATTTGAAGCTTCCTCCTTTCCTGTGTTGAGCCATACCCAAGCGTTTTCGGTCTTCAAAGGATGGGCTTTTTTAAGAGGGTGGAGGGAAGACAAAAATTAACTGAAGTACACCAACAGCACAGGTACTTTTTGCGAGAGTCTCTTCTCTGGTCTGCCCAGCTTTACCCCCAATATCAGTCAGCATTCCTGAGAAAGCCCACAGATGCAAAACCAATCCCACCAACTCAAGGCTGCCCTGCTGCTAAGACATTACCCGGCTCGGTACTGCTTCAGGGCCCTCCTGCTGGTGTTGGTCAGCTCTTCATCAAACACTGACAATTTTTTCTTCTGCTTGGGGCCTACAACAGAGACAACAGAACATTGGCTGTAGAGAGCAGGCCACAGCCTTGTTTACTGGAGCCCAGCATCCTTGACCACGACAATTAGTCTAAACACCTGGAAAAGCCAACACACACCCTGGCCACCACTAGTGGCCATTCCTTCCAAGACCGTAGAATCAGAGAACGATTTGGGTTGGAAGGGACCTTCAAGATCACATAGTTGCAACCCCCCTGCTTGGGCAGGGACACCTCCCACTAGACTACGGTGCTCAAAGCCCTAAAGATCCTCTATACAAATTGTTTTAGTTTACCTATTTCTAACAAACTAAGTGCCATAAGCTAAGTCAGCTGTAAAACAAAAGTCCTCACCTGCTGGCACTGCTGTTGGTTCCTCTTCTGGCAAGGCCCTGGCTCGCTTTGCTCGGCGATTCCTCTTTGCCAGCCGCTCAGCATACATTTGAGATTTCAAGATTTCAAACTGTGACCTTTCCTCTGGCTGAAAGGTGTTAAAATGCAAGTTTACAGTGATGTGAGGTTTTGCTAAGGAAAAAGCAGGAGAGTTGACCCAGGGTCCCACTTGTCCTTAAGAGTACTCACTGTCATTTGGACTTTTTTCTGTCTGTCCTGCATAAATTTCTTCCTTTTCTTTTTGCCTCGTAATGCTAGGTCAAACTCCTGCAGAGCTTTAGCCACTGCAGTGATGAAGAAAAACACAGAATAAAAAACTCTTAAGGTACAGAGCAGAGCCCAGTTGCAGCTATGGAATTTAACATGGCAGCAGTGTCATGACTTACATTTCTCTTTCTTCCTCTCCTCACGGGTCTGGAACCAGCTCCGCTCCAAACTCTCACCTGCCGTCTCTTGTTTTCCTGTCTCCAGCTGCTTCTTTGCCCTATTGATCTGACACAATTCAAGCCAGAAGTGAGCTCATGGTGGCTAAAAAATACTTGTCTCTTCCTTTTCTAACATAGGCAGGTTACGTACACTGGGTAACCTCCAGATGCTAAAAAAAAATAAGGTAAAAAAAATCCTTAAAAAAACCCACTTACCTGGGCTTCTGACTGCTGCATCTCACGTTCCTCACGCTCCAAACACAGAACTGCATACACATCTTTCTCTAGATTCTCAATCTTCTCTCGAAATCTTAGGATGACATCTGAAAACAATACAGTGTGAACATCAGAAGCAGCTTATGTAAATTCCATCTTGTTTTTCAGCACCTGTTTAGTGTCCTTCTGTACCATGATATTCCTAGAGTACTGATCTCCTGCTTTTTACCTCAATGACGTGCATACCTTGGGGGAGGATTCTGGCTTTCACTGGTGTTTTGGCAGTCTTCACTATTTCCTTCAGCATCTTGCGCTCTTCCTCACCCACAAGTGAAACCGAGCGACCAGCCCTGCCTGCTCTTGCTGTCCGACCCACTCGATGAACATAGTGTTTGGTGGTGTTAGGCATGGTAAAATTGATTACCTGTAACAGTAACTGTTAGCAGGGAAACAACTTTAAAGGACTCATTAAAAAGCTCAACACTGCAAATACTCACTGTTTTCACACCTTCAATATCAAGTCCACGAGCGGCCACATCTGTAGCTACCAGAATATCGATCTGCTCATCCTTAAAGCGCCTGAGCAGAGACAGCAAATGCATTAGCAATGAGTACAGCAATCCACTTCTGCCCTAAAGCTTTTGACTCCTAACTGCTTTTTTGCCTATGATTGCCAACTAAGCCTGCTAATACCTGAGTGCTTCCAGCCGCTGTGTCTGAGTGAGGTTCCCATGAAGCTCCCCGACCCGCAGACCCATCAGCCCAAGCAGGATGTGCATCCGGTGAGCTTGCTTCTTCGTCTGGGTGAAAAGCATCACATGATCCAGGAAGGTTCGTGTCAGTAGAGCTGAAAGAAAGCCTTCTCAGAAGCCCGCTTTATAGTCACCTACTGATTCCAGCTTTTCTTTGCTCATCACTAACCTGATACAATAGCCTCACGGTCCCCCTCACGGTTGGGCCTGATCCGGATGAATTCCTGCCGCAGGAAAGGGGCAACATCTGTGTTGCTGTTCACAAAAATTCGGGTGGGATTTTTCAGAGAAACAGAAGCCAAATCTTTCACCTACCAAAACAAGTTAAGAAAAGAAATCCGCATAATCTCTGGGAAAAGACTACAAATTTCTCTTCAACTTTCTGCCCTAATATGCTTCTCAGAAGCCTGTTTTACCTCCTCTGTCATTGTGGCAGAGAAAAGCATTGTCTGGCGGTGGTTGGAGCACAACCTGATTATTTCTTTCATCTGTTCCTCAAAATATTCATCCAGCATCCTACACAGGAGCAAAAGAGCAAGGTAAGGCAGCTTCATCTGGTTCTAGCTAAGAAGCATTACTTAAACTGGGGCAACACAAAGCCTGAGAAAAGGAAAGCAGAAAACTACCACTTCATTTTTCACTGCTGTCCTGCTTAGCCTACCTGTCTGCTTCATCCAGAATCAGCACCTCAACGCTGCTCAGGTGGAAAGAAGGGCAGTTGTGGAGATGGTCAATCAGTCGCCCAGGAGTGGCGATAAGAACGTCTGGCCCAGAGCGCAGAGCTGCTTCCTGAGTCTTCACATCTAGGCCACCTGAGGGAGAGCAAATGTGGACTGCTGACTCCCTGAATGGCTGCAGCAGAGCACGAGGGATGGAAAACCAGTCAGATGAACATCACCTTCACAATTAGAAATAACCTCACCTTTTCTTTCTCAGAAACCAACAAACTGAAGGTACAGCACAGTACTGGAAAGCAACATTTTAAACACTGCACACCTGCTAGAAGCATGCCTGCAATAACTGTACAGCCTGACAGGTCTGTAACACAGAATTCCCAATTCCATACAGCTATTTACAGTGAGCTGTACAGTTCACATAAGCAACTTAACACTCACCTACAGCAAGGCAAGTGGTGACGCTGCTGAACTGTGCCAGCTGTTTGGTGACAGAGTGAACCTGAATGCCCAGCTCTCGTGTTGGCACTAGAACCAACACCCGCGTTACTGGAGCCTGACGAGGTTTGTAAATCAGGCGCTCGAGGACAGGCAAGATGAAGGCAGCTGTTTTACCTAAAGAAGAAAATTAAGAATTACTAATGATAGTGAATAGCCAACTCCCCTTTTTTCCTGTGCCCTGCTCAACCCCCTACCTGTCCCAGTGGCAGCACAGGCACAAATGTCCTTCCCCAGAAGAGCCACTGGGATACAAGCCTTCTGAATTGGGGTTGGCTGCTTGAAACCAAGAGCTGTGATTGCCTACAAAGGAGATGGAGCAATTAAATTCTGTCTCTGGTATGGCCACACCTGGAGCCCTGTGCCCAGTGCTGCGCTCAGCAGTACAACAGAGACATGGACACACCGAAGAGAATCCAGCAAAGGGACACAAAGATTATGAAGGGAGTGAGGCACCTCACATGTGAGGAAAGGCTGACAGAGCTGGGACTGTTCAGCCTAGGAAAGACTTGGGGAGGATCTTATCCATGTATATAAATACCCAAAGGTAGGGTGGAAAGAGAATGAAGACAGGCTCTTTTCAGTGGTGTCCAGTGACAGGACCAGAGGCAATGGGAACAACCTGAAACACATATCCAAATAATGGGAATAACAACTCCTAAAGGACTATCACACTAGCTCCCACACAATCTGTTTTTCAGAGAAACTGCAAAGAGAAGAGAAATTGGACAGGTCTGATTGGCAGAGGGGAGGCTGTACAATGTTCTTCAGTGACATATGCAATAACTAAGCTAGGCAAGTACCTTCAGTAAAGGTCGTGAAAGATTCATGTCCTGGAATGACAAGTTATCATCATATTGAGAGGCATCTTCAAAAAAGCTCTCTGCTTCCTAGAAACAGCAACAACAAAACTGAAACAACACAGGCAGCAACACAACATACTATCTTAGGGCTCAGGGCTGCTTTCTGAGCTGAAGTTTGGTAATCAAAGTCAAATTTCTCCAGAGTACATACTGGGGAATGACTGGTATCATTCTGTCCAACACTTACCATTTCTCCTTTTTTTGATCTTCTCCGTTCCTTCACTGTCACTTTATCTGCACAGAAAGAGAAATGTGGCAGAGTTAACAAGCACAGCCAAACACGTAACAAGATATGGCAACTACCTTCATGTCACACTTTTTGCTCTGAATGAGCTACTGAGGGAGAAACCTCAGAAATTAGTACAGGCATGCAATGGAGTAAAATGCCAAGCAAATATCCTTCCTTGGGGATAAGTTCAATTAAAGTGCTATGGCTACCATTCAAAATAAGTTTGGCCAAAATCAGAAGGAATGTAACAGAAGACAAGAAAAAATAAGAGTTTCTTGCCCAATCCCAGCAAGATTTCACTACAGACTTTTCTCAGGTGAGCGAACAGTCTGTCAGATTTTTGCTCCTGTCTCTATGTACTGCTAATACCTGCTTTTGTGAAGATAGTTTCATCATCCATTGAATACTGAGACTCCACATCTTCATCCCTACTGAAATCATCACACTCCTTTTTAGCATGTTTATCCTCAGTCTCTGCATCTTCATCTCTCACTTTTGCTTGTTTAGCTTCTTTTTCCTAGAAAAGGATTTTTAAGAAAAAAGCTCTAAAAGACAGGAAAAAAATCCCTTGTGAAGTTTTGTTTGTTGTTATTACTCTGTTATTATTCACGGGGCTGTGTTTTACATAACCTTAAGCATTAACAAGTATGCATTCCCATCAGTTCAGCAAGCATCAGGTGTGGCTGCACACCGAGGTGAAGAGCTGTAGCCTGAGCCCTGCACCTCAGGACACCTTCAGAGTCCCTGTCTGTGAAGTTGACTCAGTAGAAGGCCAAACCCACACCAGTCTTCACTAATGAGAAGAAAGGGCCAGACCTGGAACTTTCTTTTCTGCCTCACTTTCTCAATCTTCTCATCCAGCGTCGTCGCTGCTCCCTAGGCAGGAATCACAAGAGAGACGGGTAAGAGCCCGCCCAGCGCGGGGCTCGGCCCCCCCGCAGCCCGGCCCGGCCTCCCCTTCCCGCGGAGCTGGCGCAGCGCGGCCGCCCAGGCGCCCTCCCC